CTTTGTGTCTCTATGAATTTGCCTTTCATAGGTTCCTCATATAATGGAATCATACAATATTTGTCCTTTGGTATCTAGCTTAACTCACTTAGCATGTCTGTAAGGTTCATCAATAATGTAGCTTCTGTCAGACACTCATTCCTTTTTAAGGTACAATAATATTTCACTGTATAACTACATCACATTTTTTGTTAATCTGTTGATAGACTTATGGCTTTGACTAACATATGTGTTTTTTTTCATCATTCCTACTATCTTATGAAAATACTGTTTATTAATAGCTTATATGTTTTTGTTATTTTTCGGTACTACAAGCAACAAATCACAAGTTCTTGTAGTGAATAACAAATGTGTTATCAGTTGGTTTATAAAGGAAAATGTAAAGAAAAATGGATTTTATATTGTACTCTTCCCAAAATAAATTTTTATCTTGTTTATAATCTTTTTATTAAATTAAGATTCTCTATTTGTTTTCAGATTGATTTCTACTATACATTTCTTTCACATGGGCCAAAATTAAAGAGTAGCACTAACATATGTGAATAGGCAAAATATAACTTAAGTTGATATGATACAACCTTTCTTTACAATAGAAACTTCATACACCCATGAAAAAAGTCCCAGGAAACCCAGTTCTACTGTACACTTCATCAGACTGACGTTTTGTTACATGTGAAAAGTCTTTTGAATAAATCAGATATTTTATATCTTTTCTCATCCAATCATAGTATCTCCAAAAATTCCAATCATGGAATTTCAGTTCATGTTCACTTTCACATTGTGTATTATTTATCTCAGTTCTTTTTTGATTCCAAATTTGGATTATTCATCTTTTTGGTTTTCCTTCTTAAAGAAAAAAATTAAGGATGGGATAGGAAAAAATTAAATTCAATCTGGTCAATTTGGTTGCCTATTAATAATGCTATTATATATTAAAGTATGACAAATTACTGGCCAAAAAATACTGTTTGGAGTTAAAAAATAGTACAGCTACTAAGTTCCCTGAGAATCTTTTAATCTTTTTCATTGTGTGAACATCCTTTCTTTATATTTTGTGTACTTTATGCTATATGAAGATACTATATTTAGCACCTATTCTTTTTAGTTTCATTGTTTATAGGTTGGTATCTATAAACACCACATTACTTTGGATTCCTGGAGTGGAGAAAACAGTGCAAATCTACCTTCTTCCATATACAGAACATGAATACAAAGGAAAAAAATTGCTAACAGCATAATTTTTAAAAAGTACTTTTCCCTATTTCTATAAATATCTCAGAGAAATTAAAATCCTCTGGGAACCTAAAATTGGTCAAGGAAACAGATGTTTAAATCCTCTAAGTATAGCACAGGGAATAAAGTTTGGCACAAACAATTGCAACTAAAGTGTATATCAGAAAAATCGATGTATCTTTGAAATATTTAAAGATAAAATGTTTTTACTCCATCTTGGTAAGAATATTTAAGGTTTCAGTTTCTTTTTTTTAAATATGTTATCCTTTCTTCAGATGTTATTATGAACTGGGAAAAATTATGTACCTAAGAATTAAGGGAATTGTATTTTCATACATAATTATGCTTCTTTTTGGTAGTTATTATGTTTTGCTTTCTGTTACAGGTATTTGTGTGCATATTGTATGCTCAACTATATTATAAATGGCTTGCAAACACAATAAATAGTCTACTTAATTATTATATTATCCATTATGCCTTATGTTGCACTTTGCATATAGTAGGTTGTCAATAAACACTTAACAATTAATTGCATTAAAAAATAAAATACCTACAAATAAATTTAACCAAGGATATAAAAGACCTATATTCGAAAAATTATGACACTGAAGAAAGAAACTGAAGAAGATACAATAGAAGCAAATACTGTGTTCATGACTAGGAAGAATTAACATCATTATAATGTGCATACTATCCAAAGCAGTCTATGGATTCAACAAAATTCCTATCAAGATACCAATGGTGTATTTCATAAAACTAGAACAAGTATTCCAAAAATGTATATGGAACCACAAAAGACACCAAATATCCACACCAATCTTGAGAAAGAACAAAGTTGGAGGAATCATACTACCTGATATCAAACTATATTACAAGGCCACAGTAATCAAAACAGCATGGTACTGGCATAAAAACAGACATATAGATCAATGGAATAGAATGGAAAACCCAGAAATAAGCCCATGCTATGGTCAATTAATAATTGACAAAGGAGGCAAGAACATATAATGGAGGACCCAAAAAAACATGGAATTATCTTCTGGAGGGCAGGCTTCTGTTAATACAGGCTTCCCCAGCTAGATGAGTGTTATAGGAACCCATTTGTATCAGTGTACCAGCTAGCTTTGCTGTGAGAGCCTGTGTTTGGCTTCAGTGAATTTTTTTGAAGGCTCTTTCACTGTGTTTGCCCATTTCATAATGGGTGATCAACCTCGCTGAGTGTTGAGCAGTTTTTGACCAAACAGGGCAGGACCCTGGTGCCCCACCCTTTCTATTCACCCGATCTTGCCCCAAGCAACTTTTTTTCATTGTTTTCTCAGATGAAAAAAAGCCCTAAAAAATAAACATTTTGCCAAGGTGCAAGAGGTGAAACAAGAAACGGCAGGAGCATTAAAAGGCATCAAAACTGATAAGTTCACACATGGTTTTGAACAGTGGAAAGAAAGTCTCAATAGGTATATTGCATCAAATGGAGAGTACTTTGGAGGTGACTAAAGTTTAAACATGTAAGAATAAATATACAACTTTTTAATAAATAAATTCCAGTATTTTGAGCAAAGATAAAATGTATTCAATAAATAGTGTTGGGAATATTGGACATATAAATTTTAAAAATTTTAAAGAAACTAGACCACATTCTTACACCATACACAAGAATAAACTCAAAATGGATAGAGATTTAAATGTTAGACTTGAAACTGTAAAAATCCTAGAAGAAAACATAGGCAGTACAATATCAGACATTTTTTGTAGCAGTATTTTTTTCTTGTATACCTCCTTGGGCAAGAGAAACAAAAGCAAAAGCAAACAAATGGGACTACATGAAACTACAATGTTTTGCACAGTGATGAAAACCATCAGCAAAATGAAAAGACAACCTACTGAATGAGATAACATATTCACCAATGACACATCTAATAAGCGCTTAATATCCAAAATTTATGAAGAACTTACATAATTCAACACTAAAAAGCAAACAATCCAATTTAAAAATGGGTGGAGGATTGGTGTGGCTCAGTTGGTTGAGTGACATCCCACAAAGTGAAATGTCACCAGTTGATTCCCATTCAGAGCACCTGCCTGGGTTGCAGCCTGGTCCCAGGTTGGGGGTGTCTGAGAGGCAACCGATGAATTCTTCTCTCACACATCTATGTTTCTTTCTCACCCTCATTTTCTCCCTCCATCCCCTCTCTCTAAAAATAAATATACAAAGTCTTTTAAAAAAAATAGGCAGAGGATCTGAATAGACACTTCTCCAAATAGGACACAGAGATAGCCAACAGACATAAGAAAAGATGCTCAATGTCATTAATCATCAGAAAAACTCAAATTAAAATCACAATGAAATATCACCTTACACCTGTCAGAATGACTGTTATCAGTGAATCAACAAACAACAGTTGGCAAGGATGTGGAAAAGGGGGAACCCAAACACACTATTGGTAGGAATGCAGACTGGTGCAGCCACTGTGGAAAGCAGTATGGAGTTACCTCAAGAATTAAAAATGGGACTGCCTCATGACCCAGCAATTCCACTTCTGGGAATATATCCAAAGAAACCCAAAACACTAATTCAAAAGAATATATGCACCCCTATGTTCGCTGCAGTATTATTTACAATAGTCAAGATTTGGAACCAGCCCAAGGGCCCATCAGTAGGTGAGTGGATAAAAAAGCTGTGGTACATTTACTCAGCTGTAAAAAAGGAAATCTTACCTTTTGCAAAAGAATGGGTGGATCTGGAGAATAATACACTAAGTGAAATAAACCAGTCAGAGATAGACAAATACCATATAATTTCACTTACATGTGGAATCTAATGAACAAAATAAGCAAACAAAACAGAAACAGACTTAGAGATACAAAGAACAGATTGACAGGTGTCAGAGGGAAGGGATTTGTGGGGGCTGGATGAAAAAAGGTGAAGGGATTAAGAAAAAAAAACTCATTGACAATAATATGGTGATTACCAGAGGGAAAAAAGAGGGGTTAGGGGAAAGTAGAAGAGGTTAAAGGGAAATAAATGGTGATAGAAGGAGACTTGATTTGGAGTGGTAAACACACAATACTATATACAGAAGATGTATTACAGAATTGTACACCTGAATCCTATATAATTTTATTAACCAATGTCACCCCAATAAATTCAATTAAAAAATAAAGTAAAATGTGGAATTGTTGAATAATCATGTAAAAATACTTAAATTAACAGTGAAAAGGGAGACTACTTTATTCTTCTATTGTAATGAAGACTTTTCAACTCTGCAGTGATGATACACACAAATATTTAAACTATGTGCCTCAACTTGACATAATTTCATTATAACTTGATGGCAATCACATTTAAATATTAGAATACTTTTGTAATAATATTACTTTAGAATAGCAACTTGAATGGCTGGGAAAACATGTTAATGTACATTAACCTGAAGGAAACAGAAATACTAAACATTTTTTCAGAAATCAATGTGTAAGTTTAAATATCCCACTATAATATTTATGAGCAGGCCTCAAATTAAAATTTATAAAATGCAAACTATCAAATGTTTCAGTTAGATAATAATTTAGTCTATATTTTGTAGTTTTTCCTGTGTACACATTAAGGAACACTATGTAAAAAAGATTATTTTCTCCTTTTGTGTGTTTGGCTACTACTACCACCAAAACATCAAAATGAATCTTGCTTGAATGCCATACCATAGCAATCTTCTAAAAGCCCTCAATTATCAATCAGTATGCTATTAGTGAACACAAGTGATTTTCCTTACCTTCAGGACAGCTATGAATGGTACAAAGTTAGCTCTTTGAAGTCCATTTTTATAGAGATCTGAAAGAATGAATTGATATTAGCTTTTTACTTAGTCTAAATCATAATGTTAGTTTATATTCTAGCCTGATAAATAAAGCTTTCTACTGATAAAAAACATAAAGGAGCAAAAAAGGGAAAAAATAACTAAAATTTATTTCTATTCTGGTACTACAGAAAATTCATTATATTCTTAATAAGAAAAAACATTAACAATCACAGAAAGAAGATCAAAGGGCACTCAACCAAATTAGCTTTAAATGATAATAAAAAGCAATAAAAGAATTTGAAAAATATCACAAATGATCATAAATAATAACCCATCATAAGAAAATATTATATTTTAAAAGTATTTAATATTTGAATATATAAAACTTTACTGGAAAACAAATCATATCCTCTTTTTCTCAATATATAATAAAACTTCTCCATACACAATTAAAAGTATGTAATAAGATTAGCTGTTTTTTTATATTAGGCTTTTAAGAAAACCCATCAATAGAACTGTGCATGTACTTGTATCAAAATTATATATTTCATGTTAAGGCACATGACATTAGGCCAATTTGCTTTAAAAGGAATTACCTAAAAAATCAAAACTCCATTCTTACAGGCTGTAAATTTAATGTAATTATACATCATAAATAGAATGACGCATTGCCTCAGAATGATTGCCTTGCATATATGTATATGTTACAGTGTATGTTCACACACATACAAACACACATACACATGTATTGTCAAGAGCAAACAAGTGGAAAGAAGCAACAAAATTTAAGCTTTGCACATTTTTCTTTTAAAATGGAGATGGAATATTCGGTTCACAAGTTCACAAAATTTCAAGAGGTTGAAATTTTATTACATATAAAACATTCCATTTAAAGGTTAACTCTATAAAGTAATGAGATTTTAAAATAAAAGTATTTATAAAAATGGGAGCTGTAAAAAGTTTTCTCAATAATAAAAAACACAAATTAGCTTACATGTCTCGATTTTTCTTAAAGTATCGTAATATGGGATCCTTTCTATATTCCTTTGTTTAGAGAAAATTTGATAACAAAGAAAGGCTTCAACTGCCACATTTACTTATGGAAATAAAATATGGTCATTAGGAAACATTTATTCTCTTTAGAAAAATATTCATCATAACATCATTATAGTGAAGAAAGTATTTGCATAAGCTCTAGTTAATTAAGGACTAGAGGCTTTAATGCAGTTACATTTAAAATTTTCACTTACGGATATTATAAAAGGTCGTAATGCTGACCAGACTGTAAGGATTTCAAATTCAAAGTGAGATATTTTCTTTCTTATAAGCAATACCTTGAATAAGTAAAATGAGTTTAAAGTTAGGTATTTTCATAGTTCCCTAATTACCAAGTTTCTGGAAAGGAAAAACATCTCTGCGTGGTAAAGAGTTGACAGCCATGATTGCCAATAAGGGGTAAAAACTGAAAATAAAATAACTTTAAAAGCACACTCAATGTTTATAGCAGCTTTACTCATAATAACTAAAAACTGCAATTTTGTTTGTTATAGCCAAAAACTGGAAGCAATCCAAAGGTCCATCATTAGGTAGATGGATAAACAAACTGTGACATATCTGTATAATGAAATATGACTCAGCAAGAAAAAAATAAACTATTCACATACACATGCAAAAGATGAATCTCAAAGTAATTATGCAGAGTAAAAGAGACCAGCCCCCCCGCCAAATGAGCACATACTATGTGATTCCATTTATATAAGACTCTAGAAAAAAAAGCCAGCTAATCTATAGCAACAGAAAGCAAATCAGTGGCTACCTGGAAAAGAGGGATGTGGGCCAGGGATGGCAGGAAGAGACAAAGAAAGGGATGAGAAAAGTTTGGGGTATGATGGAAATGTTCATTATATTGTTTTAAGATTTTATTTCTTTTTAGAGAAAGGGGAAGGGAGGGAGACAGAGAGGGAGAGAAATATCAATGTGCAAGAGAAACATCAATTGGTTGCCTCTCACATGCCCCCAACTGGGGACCTGGCCTACAACCCATGCATGTGCCCTGACAAGTAATCGAACCTGTGACCTTTTGGTTCACAAGCTGGCACTCAACCCACTGAGCCACACCAACCAGGGCTGAGATGTTCATTATATTGATTGTGGTAGTGATTTCCCAGGTATATACATATGTCAATATTTTAAAAATTGCATCCTCTAAATATGTGCTGTTTATTGTATGTCAATTATGACTCAGTAAGTTTTTTTAAAACTTATTGGGGAAAAAACAAACACAACATTAGTGAACATCAAAGAACACAATGGTATAGAATTAAAACTAAGATATTACACTAATGAAAGTTTATCTCTGTTAAAGGTAACCTTTAGTCTTACACATGGAATTTTTTATGGACATATAAGTCGCTGATACATAACAAGCATCCAAATTTTAGTTGCCTAATGGAAGAGAGAAATGTAAAAGCTCACTGGTAATATTTTTTTTCTCTTTTTAATCCTCACCCAAGGACATGCTTATTGATTTTAGAGAAGGGGAGGCGAAGATGAGAAACATCAATGTGAGATAAGAAAGAAACATAAGTGTATTGCCTCTGGTATGCCCCCTGACTGAAGACCGAATCTGCAACCTAGGCATCTGCCCTGACCAGGAATTGAACTTGTGACTTTTCAGTATGTGGGACGATGCCTAACCAACTGAGTCCCACTGACCAGGGCCCACTTGCAATATTCTTTGATTTAAAAATTTCCACTCATCAGCAAAGTTAAATAAGAATAACAATGCCTTTAAGAATCTAAGATTTCATTTTTAAAGGGTTAACTTTTTTTAAAAAAATCAGCCTTTACAAGGATACATAATTCAACCTTTATGCCCAGAGAAGTATTTTCTAAACAAAATTCTAAACAGAATTCATTTTGAAAACCTTTAGGATTTTATAGGACACTTAAGTGAAAAGGACTGTACTCATTAAATTGAACAGTTTTTGCAATTCAAATAATATGCTAATTATCAATGTAATAGATCCATCTCCTGAAATGTTATTTAGCTAACAAAATTTTTAAGTTTGTTGTTTAATGTTATTTTTCTGAGACTTAAAGATTTTATGATAGGTTTATATCAACATTTGTCATTATTTACTATATACTATTTTAAAATTCAATATAAGTTCTTGCCCACATTTTTTAATGATCTCTGAACAGAGCTAAAGGAGTACTTGGTATACAAGATAGAATAGTGAAATTATGGAACATTCAGTTTTTGAGCTGTGTACATTTTCTACAATGAATAACTATAGTAATACTTACAGATTAAATAGATGCAAAGAGGATTTTTTTAACTTAATCTTTATTGTATCTTTTCCATTACCATTTATATTCCCCTTCTACTTCCCTCCCCTTAGCAATCACCACACTTGTCCATGTCCATGTGTCCTTTTTGCTCAATCACAAAGAGGATTTTTAAAGTAATTACAAGGGTCTACAGAAATACTTTGGAAATGCATATGGGTATGTAGATCTTTTCCTCAAAAATCCAAGTGTCAAAACCAACAGGGTGAAAAAAATGCTTAATTATATACTTATCAGTTCAGAGTAAGGCAAACCTTTAGACAGGCAAGAAAAAGGAATTTTCCTATAAATGAACACAAAATAATTATACAACTCATAAACCAATTTGATTTATCCTTCCAGAGACTGTCCTTTTATAGAAGACATGGACTTGCAGACGGCCAATAGACATGTAAAAAGATGCTTAATGTCACTAATCATCGGAGAAATGCAAATTAAAACCACCATGGGATACCATCTCCCACCAGTAAGAATGGCTATCATCAATAAACCTACAAATAACAAATGCTGGAGAGGATGGAGAAAGAAAAACCCTTTTGTACTGGGTTCTGGTGGGAATGCAGACTGGTGCAGCCAGTGTGGAGAGCAGTATGGAGATACCTCAAAAAATTAAAAATAGGTCTGTCTTTTGACCCAGCGATCCCACTTCTGGGAGTATATCTGAAGGAACCTAAAATACTAATTTGAAAAAAACATAAGCACCCCTGTGTTCATTGCAGCGTTATTTACAGTCGCCAAGATATGGAAGCAGCCCAAGTGTCCATCAGTAGATGAGTTGACAAAACAATGATGGGATATTTACACAATGTACTACTTAGGCATACAAAAGAAGAAAATTTTACCCTTTGCGATAGTATGGATGGACCTGGAGAACATTATGCTAAGTGAAATAAGCCAGTCAGAGAAAGATAAATACCATATGGTTTCACTCATACATGAAATCTACTGAATAAACTGAACTGACAAGGAAAATGAGGACAGACTCACAGATGGAGAGCAGGATAACAGCTGGGGAGAGGGAGGTTAGGGGTTGGAGGGATTGAGCAAAAAGGAGAAAAGACTCCTGGACACAGACAACAGTATAAAGGTATGAGGACTGAAAGGTAATGGAAAAAACTAAAGACTACATTTTAAATAAATAAATAAATAAATAAATAAATAAATAAATGGCACCTTAAGTAGTAATAGCTACTTAGCTTCTTTTTAAAAAACTAATTGGAGTTCAAACAGTAGTTTACTAGACATATAGATAATATATCTAACTAAATGCTCCCATTTGATGGTATTATAGTTTTATATTCAATTGACATATATTTATAATTTTCTATTATGTGTCTGCACTGAAATGAGTGACAAAGACAAAAGATAAGTAATAATTAAAAGGAGGAACTAAGATTTACAGAATGCCTCCTAGATACAAAATGTTCTCTTGTTGAACTGATCTGAGACTCAAAATTATTTTCCACAAACCATCAAACAATACTTGCTTTACCTACCATTGTAATCGCCACCAGACAAACTGCAGCACCACTCATTGCCCAGGAGCAAGGGGCGCAGGCCCACTGCTGCCATGAACCGAGGAAGAAAAGGCGGAGCCCAGCGAAAGCATTCTCTGGTGAGGCTGCAGGGACCAGCTGTGCGTGGCTCAATTTAATATGGCGTTAGTAAGCCCATATTAACA